GATCATCAATGTGTAACTTACAAAAATACGGACAATTTATCTTCTGTTATTGAGAATGAAAATACGAGAAAAACTATGTTAATTGAGTTTTTTCGAGTAAATAAAATAAATGAATTTGCTTGAACGCTTTTGTATCGAGATTTCCCAAGACATTTTGTTTGAAATGCATCTAACAAAACATGGACACCTAGAAAGAAGCAAATTGTTGTAGGACGAATTGTCTCGATAAATTCATCTGAAGGAGAATGATATTTTCTTCGTCTTCTTCTTAATCATATTAGAGGTCCAACATCGTTTGATGATTTTAGAACTTTCAATGGGGTAAATGTTGGTACATTTCGTGAAGCTACACTTCTCTGTGGTTTATTAAATGGAGATACTTGTTGTGAAGAATGTTTATCTGAAACTATTATTTACGAAATGTCTTATTCTTTAAGACGTCTTTTTGCTACGCTTCTTACAATGTGCAATCCAAATAATCCTAAGTTACCGTGGGATAAATTTAAGCCTTATATGACAGATGATTATGTAAATGAAAATATGCCCACTGAAGTTGTCGAAGTATAAGCTTTAGAGGATATAAGTTCTATTTTAGAATCATTAGGTAAAAATATAAACGATTATGGAATTGTGTCATTTAACATAAATATAGACGACGATGAAAGATTGATGAGAATGGTTGCAGAGGAAACAATCAAATTGGATATTGAAAGAAACTTTAGTTGTGCAACGACGTTAAATAAAAAACAACAATTTGCATATAATACAATTATGGAAAAAGTACAAGATGAATCAAGTGAATTTTTTTTATCGATGGTCCAGGTGGGATAGGAAAGACTTTTTATATAGAGCACTCTTGGCTGGTGTCAGATGTCGACATTTTATAGCTTTAGCAACTGCATCGTCCGGAGTGGCTGCATCTTTATTGCCCGGAGGTCGAACTGCTCATTCAAGATTTAAAATCCCTCTAGAAATGGTAGGTGAAGTCAACTGCTCTATTAGCAAGCAATTGGCATTAGGAACTTTATTGAAAATGTGTAGGCTAATAATTTGGGATGAGACACCTATGGTAAATCGTTGTGCTGTAGAATCTGTAGACAAAATGCTTAGAGACATCATTGATTGTAACTTGCCTTTTGGTGGAAAACTAATAGTTTTAGGAGGAGATTTTAGACCGATTCTACCAGTTGTACCTAAGGGAAACAAAGAAGACATATTAAAGGCTAGCATGATTTACTCGTATTTGTGACCTTCTTTTGTACATTTAGCACTGGTTGAAAATATGAGAGCAAAGTCCGATCCCATTTTTTGTGAATAATTACTTCAAATTGGAGGTGGAATAGAACAAGAACATACTTGCAACTGTATTACGCTACCAAATAGTATTGTTCTACCATTCGAAGATGAAATTACATCTTTAAAAAAATTGATACAATGTGTGTTTCCCTATATGGACACATATTCCGATCATTTATATACGATGGTCAATCATGTTATTCTTAAACCTACAAATAAATGTGTTGACTACATTAATGGACTTTTGCTTGAACAAATTCCTGGTCAAAGTTTCACGTACTATAGTTTTGATGAAGCAATTGAGAAATTAGAACAAAGCCTACAAGAAGACTTCTTGAATAGTTTGACACCAAATGGTATTCCATCTCATGAGTTGAAACTGAAGATGAATTGTCCTGTAATGTTATTATGAAATATCAATCATTCCGAGGGGTTATGCAATGGAACACGCCTTACCTGTCGAAAATTTGAGAGAAATGTCATTCTT